GAGCCGGGGGCAGTTGGGGTAGGCAACCCGGCAGTTGCAATGGAGTCTACCAGCGGAGAGACATTTGGAGGGTACGAGTAAAAGGGTCAGCGACACCGCGCTGCTTACACCAATGTGCCAACAAGCTTTACTGCATCCTTCACAGATCTGTCAAAATGTCCCGAGCTATCGATAAACTTCCCGCTCCCGCAGAAAGCCGCTCGATGAAAATTATTGGACTTGGTCCTAGCCGGTAAGAATTATAGCGAAAGCGCAATATCAAGGTTTGGAGACACTTCACTCATCTGTTTACCAGTACTGGAACTCTTGGTTTATGGCAAGCACTGAAGACTTTGGGGTATACCCCCTTCCACATCTCAGAGCTCCTACCCTATGGCTTTCAGCAGATGAGAGCACTCCAGGAGGCTATCATTGCCAACGACAGCGATAAGCCATTTCAACGAGCCGAGTTTGACAAACTCTTCGCCGGTTATGATGTAAGTTCAGGTGTCCCGGCTGTGAGAGCTGGTTAGAGGAGCTCATCTAATACCATAAACCTTTAGTGCATCGTCGAAAGTCCTTGCTATCTTTGTCCAAACATCATCAAAGAGTACCTGGAAGACCCGGATGTCAAGTTCATCTTGACGGAGCGTACCCCGGAGTCATGGGCCAAGTCAATTGCGGGATCCCTCGGAGCCTATCATGCAAAGCTAGCGAAGCCGCCTTTGTCAATCGCCAGATACTTTGACAGCTTTATTTGGGAGCTTACTGCACTATTCAGAGCCATGACATACAGATGGTCTGGCGGCCTGGAGCCCAGTGACCCTGGGTTCAATGAAGCACTTTCCAAGAGCTATGTTGATTAGTGAGTTGACGTCTTGCGCTTCAAAATCGCTATGAGCAGATGTTGACGATTGCAATAGTTTAGAGAGTGTGAAAGCTCTTGTGCCTGCTGACAAGCTTCTGATCTTGAACCTTGAAAAGGGATTTGGCTGGGAAGAGATCTGCACGTTCTTAGGGAAAGACGTTCCCGAGGACCCTTACCCGCGCATCAACGCCATGTCCGACTTTCATGTTGCCGCAGAGATGGTGGTCTCTCCCGCAATCAAGAAGACGATGCGAATTCTCACTTCGTCAGCGATTGCTATTGCTGGTGTTGGAATTTGGTACTGGCAGAGAAAGAGGTAGCACCCAGGGCCTCAAGCTGAGGGGCTTTTGCGACAACTGTGTAGTCGTCAAGTACTTCAACAAAATTCGTTATACCCATTACATAGCTGCGAGTTGTGTAACTCAGAGTTCTGGGATTTGAGGAAGATATGACAGCATCATCATTGAACAACTGGTTGCAACTGCGTCGTCCAATTGTACTGTACCACTGACCTGGATTCCACGAGAGCAGGAACATCACTTAATCTCATCTACAAATGAGTCAGAGGTCATCAGAAATGATATTGATATATTCTTGCTTGTTCTTATACCAAAGGCTGCAATTGGCCAGTCTTGGAGTCTATCTAGGACCTTTGGGGTCGTAGGCCGAGACCTCAACTTCGAGCCGCATACCGGGTTGCCCAAGCTTTGAGGCCCCAATACCTGTTAGAATTGGTGCATGGTTGGGAGTCCACTTCTTCATGTTCTCTACCATTCGGCCAAGGCCATCTTCAGTCCAGGCCTCGTCAAGTGCATACAACCGGATGCGGAAGACTTGTGACCACCCTTGGCCGCCAGCTTCCTTCAGGGCAATGTCAACATTTTCAAATGCTTGGTCGATCTCCTGCATGAGATTGCTGGGAACCTCTCCAGTCTTTGAGTCCCAACCCCCTTGAATTTGGTTTAGTGAGCAATTTGTTTGCACATCATATACATACACCCTGCTTGAAATTAATTACCTTGGCCAGATATTTCAATGTTATCCCCCACCCGGACTGCTTGACTGTAATGCATCTCCTGCAACAGTTTCTCGCCATAACCTCTATACGAGAAGTACTGGAGTCCCGACATTTTGACGTTGCTGAAGTGAGCAGTTGCGACAATAGTAGTTCAGGGAATTGATGCAGATAAGAAAGAAGAATCGTGGTATGGTGGGTTTCTTGCTGTTGAAAATCGGTTTCGGTGACAAGAAGCTATACGGATTTAATGCTTGCACTTGAATTCTCTGTCGGTCTCTATACTGGCATACTCCTCATTAATAGGCTTTGTGTATCTTACTATCACATGGTGTTGTGTTAACTAGTACTCACTACCATGCTCGCTACATGTAAGCGTTGTAAGTGTAGACAAACACCGTTAGTGATGCGGCCAAATTCCCGTCGCCGGCTGAGTAATGTTACGATTGTGCGGCTTGCTGAGGCGTGCTTGCCAAGCGCTTTTTTCCATTAACCTGGTCCTGATCAGGTCTTGGCCAAGCTTAGTGCTGAGAGAATTGACAGCGGACGATCAGCCAAGAATTACATCTTACTAATCTCGTGGGTTAATGTTGTTTAGCCCATTAAGATTCCCTTCAGAGTCGGGCACACAATCAGTCCTTGTGGCGAAGCCAAGCAGCGAAGGAAGCGGAGGCAAATTTCAATGCACCTTACGGGCTTCTTTAGCTATGGATGCACGTATGCTCTATCGTCTGTGATGAGTTGCGATTCGTCAGCCTTGGCGGCATTTCATGAACAGAGGAGAATTCGACGGTCAATTTCCGGCCTAAACATCTTGAATCAAGGTGTAGACGCACTGCAGTCGTCCGCCCAGATCCTATTCATTTTACTATGCCTGTCCTACGTCACTTCCGTCAGGGAGATGACCTGTCTAAGTCACTTAAGATAGAGTGAGACACAGTCTCACCTTTTTGGGTAGAAGATCTGCCATTCACGGGCCGAGCACTGGCGCTGAGACCTTGGAATCGTGGCGCAATCAACACGGTGAGGAGTGTATTTGTAAACGCTTCTATCATTCGGAGAAGCTAGCAGCACCCCGTGAGCCCCATTGATCGTGAGAAGTCTGAGCCGGCGTCATGGGCGTCATGCGCCGGGCCTCGACTTTTATCCAGATATCGGCGATGCTGCCTGGCTCCGAGACAATCTTCGGTATCCAAGATATTCCTGACGTACGGTCCTACTGGATATCATGTCCAGAACCTCCAGATTCTCGTGAAAGCCAGCACGATACCAGACACTGCTACTGGTACAATCAGATACCTCATGGTTCTCACCGCAGCCATCAGCCCTCTCTTCACCTCCCTCTGTTGGAAATCCCGCATCCATAGCTCGAATTCTTTGCCATCATTAAGATGTGGAAAAGGCTTGTGTGGGATTTCCTTGTCGAGGAACTTGCACAATGGCTCCCATCCCGAGCCAAGCTTGTACTCCAACAGGCGTTCTTTAGGAACAAGCTCCCGGATTTTCTCAGAATACTCCTGGCATATCAACTTGGCGTTTCTTTGCCATTGTATTTGATTGCTGCAGCGAAACATTGCGTATTGCAGATCCCTTGTAACAGTAACGGGCTTCAGCGTTTGGAGAGGTTCGATCAGATTAAGTACAGCCCACATCTTCCAAGTGAAGAAAGACCTGATGACACCTTCGTCATATGATTTGTACCATTTATCCAGATCTCGGCAGACAAGTACAACTTTCGCCTTGATAGCCTGATTAGCCAGTCGATCCTTTGGATTGTGGTACGGTGGGCTCACCTCAGGATAAGTCTGGAGAAGCTCCTCTACGAACCCGATCGCCGGATTATCTGAGACAACAGCCCATTCTCCAACCAAATCATCGAAGTCTTCTGTCGTAAAGGGCTTACCCTTTCCGTAGTACTTGGCCTGCACTGCATCGAACCAGCGAAGATGGTCTTGCGGTCTTTCGATATAAACGAATCCGTGGTATGTCGGCATTCCAAGCTCTTCATATGCGGCCTTCATGGAAAAGCTCCCCGTCCGAGGAAGACTCATGTGCAAGACTTGGACATTGGATCTTTGAGCCACACTGGAGTTCATTTCTGAGCGCATGCTGCTAAAAGCATTGAGATGATCAAGAATATAGACTTCAAGGTCTTGGGGGAGGAATTGTTTTTCATACAAAGCTTCTGCGCCGCGGCTCGTTGCCTTCAGGTCACTGTAAGCTGATCGAAAGTTCTATATATAAACACCACAATATCTATGCGCCATAAGTCATCTGGTGACCTTATCTTTGACGCTCGTTCCTGATCGAGATTCGCTTGCATTTCTTCTGTTGTTCTGTCCAATCACAATAGGTCGACCGTAAACATCGTGGCGAATTACACCACGTCTTCGACGCCAAAGCGCCTAAAATCATGCATGCCGCCATTCGTGTCAGTCCGATCACACTCACGCTGCGGGTTTCAGCCTTTGAAGATCCAGTGGTAGGGTCGTTATCGCCCAACCAAGTATTCAGATACGGGAGATATGTAGGAGTTGGCGGGATGAAACCAGTCTTCTGTATCAGCATCTGGTTGCTCCAAAATCAACCTGTTTTGTTTTGCAACCTCTGATGTAACATACAACAAGAGGATGTACCTTGAACGCCTTTTTTCAATGTTCATAGGAAGTCATAGTCAATTAATAACGTATTGACTCTGATTCTTCATTACCTCTGTGACATTGCTTCTTTTCCATCTGCAACGGCCAACAACCTTAACTCGTCAATGGACGTTGGTGTGGATTAATTATTTCAGAAAACGCCCTGAGGCACATTCACGCCATAGAAACAACCTCAAACGGCGCCCAAAATCAAGTTCCTTCTTCATCCAATGCAGGGAAGCGTCCACTTTTGTAAAGTAATATGTCGAAACTTTACCTTGAGAAACATACTTTACCTTTACAGGTCCCTTGCACGTGACTTAACCTCTTCAAGAATCTTGGTGCCTGGATTGCAGCCACATCAGCTCTCGCTGAATAACTCCTCATCCTCAACCACTGCAACACACATTACCCAACTTCTCTCACAATTCTCACCTTGTTTTCAGTCAACCACTTTGAGTTCGCACGTCTAATTAGAAAATCAAGGCATCAACGCATTATGTCGTGGTCCTCTACGCAGCAAGAGGCCGAGGGAGTGGCCCCGATCGCGCAGTCATGGCATCAATTCGAGCCAACGATCAACACTTGGGAGATAGTTGAAACCCACGACGTCAACAATCCTCCCCCATCCGCACCTCAAGATACTACCGAAATAAGCCCTCATTTTGTTCTCGCCACGTGGAACGTGGAGGCGTTTGATCAAGAGCCTGCCCGCCGCATCACCGCAATTCTCGACCATCTTCTGAACCACTCGCCCTCACCCGATATAATCTTCTTCCAAGAAGTGTCGACAACGATGCTTAGTGCGTTGCTGAACAACAGCATAGTTCGCGACAATTGGTATTCCAGCGAAAAAGACTCACGAAACTGGATAGGCGCTCCTCTCACCGCTTTCGCTACAATGACTCTCCTATCCAAGGCCAAATTTGGTCACATCGGCAGGGCAGCTCTGGCGGGTCTAGGACGGGTCTCGCGAATCAAGTATCGATCTTTCTACAGACGGGACGCACTGTGCAGTGAGGTGTTTGTACCATCGCGGCAACCGGGGGCTCAGATGACTGCGTACAAGCGGCTCCAACTTGTCAACGTGCATTTGGACTCCCTATCAAACGGGGCGGCATGTCGCCCAGCGCAACTGCAGTGCGTTGGATCACTTCTACACGACGTTGGCCATGGGCTGGTAGCGGGAGACTTCAATCCTGTGACTCCACATATCGATGCAAGCCTGGTGGAAGACAATGGCCTCCTCGACGCGTGGAAGGAGTTGAAAGGCGAGGAGACTGGATACACGTGGGGAGTTAATGGTACCGAAAGATTCCCCGCGAACCGGATGGACAAGGTTGCAATGGTGGGGCTCAGACCACTGCATATTGAAGTTTCGCACCCGATGCAGGTACTTCTACCTGGCGAAGATGGCTCTGTTCCATGGAGCGACCACTCCGGACTTAAGTGTACTTTCACGCTTGCCTCACCTTGAGTAAGCCAAATTGAAGAGGCTGGAATTATCCAAATAGTCATAATGTCATACTTTACTATCGCAAGAGTCCCTTGGGTCTCACACTGTTTTCTCTACTTTGATCGCCCTGTGCTCTGGCTACGTCAGCGCTAGCACCAGTGTCAGCAATAAGCGATGTAGCTGCCTGGAAGCCCCCCTCACATGTAAATTCACCACGAACCGTCATAGAAGACGAAGCTTATTGGCTTACATCTGGCTTCCTGTGGGAATTCTTTAGTTTTTGCTTGAATCTTTGGCTAACTTGAGTTTCCTCTCACGACTCTCAGACACTTGACTCCCTCGACGATCAAATAACAATAACGATAATAATAGGGCCAACACGACCCGCGTCAGCTGGTTTCCCTAAGACACTTTGACATCTACTTTGTGCCGAATCATGGAGCATCTTCCGATACCCCGCGACCCAATTAGTGAACATCCGACAATAGCATTGGGCACCAAACAGTTCCATGAACCTGGGCCTTTTTCCGACTACCCGACACAGCATGGCGAGGTTCTCAACGCACAGTATCCACATGTTCCCACTCAAGCCGATGCCCTTCAAGGGCGGTTCACAGCCGGAATATCGCATATGCAGGTTATTGACTATTACCAAGGTTGGTTGTTCTGCTCCTTGCTCCAGGAGTTTCTGGGAGACCTGTATAAATGGCAAAAATATACGTCTTGGACATACGACGATCAACAAAGGCTCAAGACTATCAGCCTATCTACAAAGACTTTGCACGAGGACCTGGCATCGTTACGCGCAAGCGGGCCGCTGGCATCCATCCGAAGCGGTGATGCATATGAAGAGCACCTAAAAGAATGTTTGGATCAAGCATTCGAGGCCTTTGATGAGATCGATTTCAAATTCCCGGGCTTCTCGGCGGCCTTTGCCGAAGAAATTCTATGCTTGGCCAGCTTGGCCGAGACATTAGACTCTGCGGTTCAGACGGCACTCGTTCACGGACCAGTCGCCGGTAAGTTACGCACCCTCGGATAAGAGCTAGCAAATCCCAGACCCTGGAGCCTATGCTGATGCTGCCTCTCTATACAGAAATGGACCGAGGTGTACAGCACTTCCCAGAGTCAGCCAAGCGCCCATGGTTCTCCAAGGTCGCCTCCTTGCTTGATCTGTCCTCGGGAAATAATAAGCTCGCAATGATTAAGGCCGGCTGGTGCCCTGGTGATATCACTAAGATCGGCGAGAGCTTCAACACCATCGCCGCGTTCTATTACTTTAGCAAGTTCAAGGCGGATTCCACCGTGGCAGACTTACACAAAGACTGTCCCGAATATGGCTGCAGTCTCAGAATACCGGCAGAGCCTAAACACATGAGCGAAGGTTGCAACTGCCCGGGAATGATTTCATTTGATGAGGAAAACCTTATAGACATCTACCAAAAGGGCGATGTCCCTTGTTTTTCTATCGGAAGGCTTGAAGATGGCAGTTTGGGCATCGCTCTCAGTTCCTGCAGCATCGACGAAGAGTCGCAGAAAGACCCCAATAATCACTACGTCGCTCTCTCACACGTATGGTCAGAGGGTATGGGCAATCCGGCGGCGAATGCCCTACCCTTTTGTCAGCTGGCATACGTACAACACTGGGCAATGATGGCATACCAAGTTGTGGAAGAGAAAGAAGCAGACGAATCAAAGGACGGCACGGGAATTATGATCCAAACGAAACCCAAAATACGCCAGCTTAATATCTGGATCGACACCATGTGTTGTCCTGCGACTCCTGGATATGGAAAGAATGTTTGCCTCTCCATGATGCGAGAAATCTACTCGAACGCCAATGTTGTCATGGTGAGAAGCGCAGTGCTTGAAGCTTTGGAAATAGGCGACATTGTACGGGACCCCTCCAAAGGGGTGATGGATGTTGCAGCACAGCTCTACCTATCTCCTTACATGCGCAGGATGTGGACATTACAAGAGGCAGTCCTAGCTGGTGCTTCCAGAGCTCGAGGGATTGGCGACCGGCTTTGTCTGTCATTCGCCGATGGCATCCTCTCGCTCGAGTCAATCATCAACCTCCTGAAGCAAGCCCCCCGACAAGAGGCCTTGTTGGCATACCGCTTCATGGCAGAATTCCGCGACCTCAGCACTCACATGTGGCAGCTAGGAGATGATGATGGCGACAAGCCAGTGAAGCACAGTCTGAAGGGATTTGACTTCTTCTTGAGCATGCTCACTGCCGCTTTGAAATACCGCAACGTCACGGTTGCGTCCGACGAGGTGATTTGCTTGGCTACGCTGCTGAATCTGCGTATCAACAGCACACGGGGAGTCTTACCTCTCATTGGTCACGGAGAGACTCCCGAGGAGGGCATGTGTGAGTTGTGGAGGAGGCTTCAGGGCCTCGGTGGGAGTCTGCCATCTGACCTTATTTTCTCCTCTATCCCACGTGTTCAAGTCCCAGGATATCGGTGGGCACCCGCAACTCTTGTCCAGTACGCGAAATACGGCAATCTCTATGTTTCTCATTCCAGTGCGTATCCGGCGAAGATTTCCGACAAGGGTCTACACGTGAGGCTTCCTGGGGCGCGACTCACGAGTTTGGCTGCCACTGCTGGTTCATTTGGCAAGTTATTGCCAATGGTATCAATGAATGACCGAAAGGATATCCACTCGGAAGATGAAGCCACACCCCCTTCTGTATTTTTGGCAAAGCTACAAGCAGATGAAGATGGCTGGTTTGCTGTCAGAATTCACAAGGGCGAAAATGAGACCCGGGAATCTGCACATGCAGAATCACGCTCCGAATCAAGTCAGAGGCCAAATCTTCTCCAACTCCTTGGGAGCAGGTCTGCGGCGCTGATATACCAGAACGCCAACATCAGCGGGCCAGGTCTACTCGTTTCCATTGCGTCGCAACCGTCAGAACTGAGCGCTCTCGACATTCTGAGTCTGAATCAGGAGCCTTTGCAGACCACAAGCGAGTTACCTGTCAAGATAATGCCTCTCAGCGGCGGTGCCAGCATCATTGCTGAAGCAGCCAACAACTGTGTCGAAGAGCTGAATCGAAGGGTTGTGGTTGAGTCGAGACAGCGGACAGGCGGAGATGCCGTTGAGAATATCTGGGAAGATGCTGTTGTCATTGCTGAGCTATTGAAGCAAACGGCCAAGAAAATTGTAAAAGAGTCCAGTGCAGCCCTGAAAGAAGCCTTGTATTTCGAGGTATTGTCTACGAAAGCCTCTGCCACTTACGAGGCCGCCATCGAGCGCTTCATGCAGTATGTGCGCCAGGTGGCGTACTTTGGCGGCGGTATAAGGTGCGAGTCTTACCCGGACGACCAAGACTGGTATGTGGATTGATTTTGGTTTGGATCGGGATTAGACCTTCGCGGGGTTGGCGGCATTACCACCTCGTCCCTTTTGACCGGACGAAGATCTTCTTAGGCACTTTCTAAATTAGATGTCCGAAGGGTGACGAGGACTCATATGATTTGCCTTCATGTAATTCTCTTACTCAGATGGGCGAGATCATTGTTGGAATCGAGCCTGATGTTGATCGAAGAGGGGTCCTTCGCAAGGGCGTTGAACCTGGTTATTAACTCGATTAAGCCTTAACGGAAAAGGCCCACTCTTTTAGTGTAAACTGCTTAGATATTCTAGGTAACCCGAGGGCCCGAGTGAGGAACTTAGAATCCGATCCTAAGTGTTTAAGTCACAATTGTGAGGTCTCTTGTACCCCTGTCTTGAGGGTGGTGGCTGCTTGTGGCTTTAAGACAACTAGATAGCCGAGAGTAATGGTCGGCCAGCGGGGCCACGGACGCTTACTCCGTACCATTCTAGGTACTTTAAACATGCTCATGACGTTTCAAGCACGGAAACAGATAACCTCGATTGAGACAGTACTTACTTTCCGGGCGGCTTGGCAGATCGGCGAGATTGGATCGCGTGCCCGGTCACGATCCGGAGGAGCTTCCACAACATCATATCTCCAGGATTAACTAATAAGTGTGACTGCAATCCTTAGATGGTCCGAGTGAAAGATGGAGTTCACAAGCTTTGACACCAAATGAAAGATTTACCTATTTCTACATTTACGCTGGGTCAATTATTACGTGCCCGCATGATATTGATGGGTTAGAGTCCTGGCCAGAGAGCTCCGCGTCGTTCGGGGCGTTCGGCGAGAATACCCACCGTCTCCCCACAGTCTGGTGCTCGTTACACGAGTCTTTGAGACATTCAAATGTACGAGTCATCTGAGTTATCTGCGCAAACCTTCATTGACAGTGAATAACTTTCTCAACTTACTCTCACTAGGTACCCCTTCAAAGTAGGTACATCGATCGCAACCGGCCATGCAATGACCACCGCCTCAACCCGACGTCTCTGTAGCTTGTGCCACACCCATGGATCCACGTATGGCGTATTGAAATTAGATCTACTCCTTTCATTTCCTCCCACAAAGCGCTCACATGGAGTATCGGCTGGCTGCCGAGCCACAAGGCATTCTATCCTCTGCGTCCTATTTCAATCGGTTTGCCCGATGAAGACATTCAGTAGACGATCAAGGCGAGACAGACTGATCTAGGTCTTGAAGATAACATCGCATGTCCATTCCTGTCAGTCTTAAGAGCCTCCCAACAATCGGCTAACATGAATCCCATTGTCCTCTTTGCTATGGAAACGGCTGCTTGTGGCCCATCTGCAAGCGGGCAATCAGATAGCGATGACTTGGCGATAGAGAAAAATCTAGTTGATGTGGTCGAGGTGGTCATAGATCCACCCAGACATCCCCGCCTGGATTTCACCGAAAAGATTTGAACGCATGTAGAATGGCCGTTTCGACGATCACTCTCAATTAAATCGCTCTTGCTGCCATTTGATGCCTCTAGCTTTTTGTCCTTAATGGACGAGGCGTGTCACTCAGGTCGCGGAAGAGTGGTCTTGGGAAGAGTGGTTTTGGGAAGACTTTTGGGAGCTTTCCTATCTTTCGCCCATCAAGGACCGAGCCTTTGGTTCTAGAA